CCCCGTGGAGCTGAGGGGCCCGGGGAGGCAGCGGGAGGCGGGGAGGGATGATATGGGGGTGTTTGAGTGGGGCGGGGGCTCGGGTGTCCTTGTGGGTGGGTGTTGGTGTGGGGCTGAGGATCCCTGAGGTCCGTGCGGGGCGGGGGCCGGGCCAGAGATCCCGGGAGTCCGTGTTAGGCGGGGTTCGGGTCGGGGCTGGGGGTCCATGCGAGGCTGGTGTCAGGCTTAGTGTCCCTGTGGGGAAGATGTTCGGCCGGGCTTCTCGGGGGCCGCCCCGCGGTCTCGACACTGCTGACGGCCCGGCTCAGGAGCGGGTGGCGGAGCTGGAGCGGGAGATCGGGGCGGCGGAGGCGGAGATGGCCCGGTGCCTGCGGGAGTACCCGGCGCTGCTGCGGCTGCGGATGGCACTGGAGGCGGAGATCGCCGCGTACCGGTACGCGGGGGGAGGCGCGGGGGGCGCGGGGGGCGCGGGGCTCATGCCGGCACTTCTCTTCCAGGGAGATGCTGGAGAGCGAGGAGCTGCGCCTGGGCGGTCTGGCCCCGCCATGACCGGAGCGCTGGAGCCAGGGTCCCATTACCGGACCCGCCGTGACCACCGGACCCCCGGCACTGTGACCGGACCCTCAGCCCACCACCGGACCCCCTGTCCCGCTGTGATCGGACCTCGGTCCCTCCACCGAACCCCAGACCCTCGACTCCTGTGCCCCAGGACCCCCGACCCCGGGCCGTGGTACCCTCGGACCCTCTGGACCACTCTGGACTCACAGAGTCCTGGTCCTTCTGCCCCCCTCCGTGGCACGGGCCCCCGGACTCCTGTGTCCCCCGCCTGCCCCCTGTCCCGGGACCCCCAGGAGGGCAGCGCCCATGGGGCCACACACTCACCAGCCTCTCTGGGGTGGGGGTCCCGGTGGGGGTCCCAGCCCAGACCCGTGCATAAGCACTTCAATAAAGCTCCGTGGCATCACCCGGAGCAGGCCTGTCTGGGGGTTGAGGGGGTGGGAGGGGCCAGGACCCCGACCGGGAACATCCTCTGCTCTCTGGGGCTCTGTGGCAGAGTAGGGGCCCGGGGGTGGCTCCAAGAGGAGGAGCTCATGGAGGGGTCTGGGCTCCATCCTGCCTGGTGCAGCCCCTTGGCCCTGGGCTGGGCACCCCCACAAACACCGAGGGGGCACATCGTGGGGGCCCAGCCACAGGTCTAGTGGGAGCTCAGCCCCCAGTGCTGCTGGGAGGCCCCTGGCACCCCCACTGATGCCATAGCCATGTCCTGCCCAGGACTGGTGCTCCTGGGGTGAGGGCAGAATCCTACTTCACAGGACATGGGGACAGGGCACTGCCCCTCAGGACTTGCCCCCTGGGTGCTGCCCCTGAGGCTGAGGATGTTGCCCCACTTCAGCCTCCAGAATGGAAGCAGATCTGGGGGAGTTGTGGGGATTAGGGGGGGGCCAGTGAGGATTAGGTGTGGTCCAGGGCACCTAGGGGTAGCTGGGCAGGGCTGTGGGGACCCTCCCCCTGGGCTGTCCATGAGCTGGGCTGGAGCACGTGGGGAGCCTGTCCCAGTCATATAGAAGGACCCTGGGGCCAAACCCTGCGCTGGCCAGGAGCCCCCCGGGGATTTTGTGGGGGCCCAGCACCCCCAGCACCCACACAGACACAGACCAGGATTTGTAGCAGCAGAACCAAGCCCCGTGCTTTAATAGGGGGAAAAAAACCCTTTTTTAACAAGGGAAAAAGCCTTTTCCGAGCATTACAAGGGAGAGCACCAGGGTGCTAGTGCTCGTGGCTGTCCCATGGGGGTCCCCCCTGCCCCGGGGGTCCCCCGGAGGTTTGCGGGGGGGAAGGAAAGGAGATGCCTGTGCATGGGGTCAGTGTGCTCAGAGCCAGCATTATTGTGGTGCATTGAGGTCCTGCCAGGGGCTCCAGGGGCTCCA